TTATTTTATTTTATTTTATTTTATTTTATTTTATTTTATTTTATTTTATTTTATTATTTTATTTTATTTTATTATTTTATTTTATTATTTTATTTTATTTTTTTGTTTTGTTTGTTTATTTATTTATTTAATTTATATTGCCGCCTATTCACCCATGACGACTCAAGGCAGCTTGCACAATGTAAAACCATATTTAAAACAAAAAATAAAAATAAAAACAACAAAAAACTAACAAAAAGTATCAAATAAATTAGTAAATACAATAGAACAAAGTTTGGGAAAACAGAAAACAAAACAAAACAAAAAAAACAAAAACCAACTCCCACCCCACGCCCCAACGACAGCAGATCACACTAGCCATTTGATGGGCTCCATCCCTCTCTGGATTCCCCAGGCCCGCTGACAAAACCAGGCGTTTCGGAAGAATATTAGTGAGGAGGCCATTCTAATCTCTGGGGGAATGATGTTCCAGAGAGACGGAGCCACCAGGTGTATCTCCCTCAGGGGTGGGACCCGCAACATTCCCTGCCTCCTCGCTCTAATGGGTCGGGTAGATGTCACTGGCAAGAGATGTTTCCTCAGATAACCTGGACCCAAGCCATGAAGGGCTTCAAAGGTGACAAACAGCACCTTGAATTGCACCTGGGAGCAAATCAGCAACCAATGCAGATCCTGCAGGAGAGGTAACACATGTACACACCGGGGTCTGCATAAAACCATGCAGGCCGCTGCATTTTGCACCGACTGGAGCTTCCGGATGCTCTTCAAGGGCAGCCCCATGTAGAGCACGTTGCAATGTTTGCCCAAAACAGAAGTAAATGCTGATTTTCTGCAGAAAAATGCAGAAAAAAAATGCATGTGACTGCAGGATGCTGCAAAAGGCCAAAAATGCAGCCCGGTTGCCAAGTGGCCAATGTACAGTCATGTGACTGAGGGTGGTGGGACCATTGGAATTTCAAATTCAGTTGAATTTTGAATGGCTGCTAAGCAACTGGCCGTAGGTTGAGGACTACCTATACACTAGGAATGGGAAGATGCAGGTCCAAGTCCACCAGTACAGGTAGTCCTCAACTTAAAACAGTTCATTTAGTGACTGTTCAAAATTACAACGGCACTGAAAACACAGCTATTGAAGAATCCTCATAGTCATGTGATCAAAATTCAGACACTTGGCCATTGGCTCATATTTATGACAGTAATTATGAGGTGATCCCCTTTTGCGACCTTCTGACAA